GGACATGAATTAGTGGGTTGGTAGGGCTGGGACAAAGGCTGGACTCAATCATCTTTTAGGTCTCTTCCAGCTGCAACTATTCTGTGATTCTGTGATCATACAAAGGAATATAAAACCCTTGAGAAATTAAGCTTATTTTCACACCGTCATGCCCCACCGGGAGCTGGGTCTCATTATCACGGAGCATCAGGCACTGTGCACAGGGTGGAGAAGCTCCCGCAGTCTCTGTGACTCTATGGGTAGCTGTGAGCGCCGGGTTTTGCGTCACATCAGCAAGAAACTTGCCACATGGGATACACCACCGCCGTAGGCTGGCCCGTACCAGTTTCTGAATCCTGCATCAGATAAGCACGTGCAAAATTCCCACAGAGTTCAGCGCTGACTAGGTTACTGCTGTGCTGCCTTGCCAGTCTTAAAATTATGGGAGCAACCTCCCCGCACGCATACAGCGAGCTACTGAAGGAACAGCAGCCGGATCTGTGGCGCTCTTGTGGAAGTGGATTAAGACAACATGGGTATAGGAGCACAGAGTGGATTGAAAGGTTGGCAGAAGGCAGGTTTGGGAATAAACGGCAGGGAAATCGCGCGAGTTTGCCGAAGGTTGGGACTTGTTGAGGAAAATGTAAGGGCCAAGTCTTTGCAGTCTGCGTTATTGGGGGGTGTGTTAAGGGTTTTGAGACAAGGAGAGCGAGAAGAAAACAGAGCAGCCTCGGAGAGCTAGAAATAAGAAAAAGTTTGGGGAAAAGTGGGACTAGCTGCAATGAAAGTGAAATGGAAGCTGTAAGTTTGAGGAGCAGGGACTGGAACAAATTAGGCAAGACGAATAATTTTGGATCGGCGAATTGGGGAGAGTATAGAGACTAGACCTTGTGGGCCTGGAGGAATGGGCAAGAGACAGTATTAAGGAGAGAAGCAGACAAGGAGAGAGCAGTTTGTTTACTTAGGGCACCTCACCTGCAGAGGAGACTGCCCTTTTTGAAGGCATCGTTTTCCATTTTTGCTATTTTGTGTCACCAAGAGGCCTTGCTGCCGTCATAACTTGCAAAGTGTTGCTCCAGTTTTACAAGTCTTAAGCTGAAGGGCAGAAATCCATGCAAAATTGTGCCCCACTGCTGACCGTGCAATGCGAGATACTTAAGACTGAATGTTTTATCAAGTCTTACAAAGCATCCCTCCCACTGATCACATTTGTAGCTTTGGTTGTTCAGCACTCGGAAGGCAGCGTTCTCAGGTATTACATTTAGCCTGCAACAAATGACAAAGGTAAGTGGTGGACATCTGTGAAAAGCAGAAGTTGTTCTTGTGTTGTGATGCAAGAACAACTGTCAGGCACAGAGGTGTGAAATCAAGCTTAGCAATAGAGCGATCAGGTTCTGAAGAAAACCTTCTCTTCCTGCAATTAACACATTTTTATGCAAAACTAATCGTCTCTCAGAGACAACACCTACATTAATTTTATTAGCTTACATGGGCCTCGTTACCTTAAACTACTTTTTGTGTTTTTTTCTCTTTTAAATCTTCAAAGCGTTGTGAAAAACATAATCTCATTGCAGGCAGGAGCACCCAGAGGTAGTGCAGTCTCGTGGTAAGGAGGGCAGCTGTGGCAAGACCACACGAAAGATCTCTGCAGGTGAGGATGTCTGCCTCGCAGCTTCCCTGCCGAGCAGAAAGGGAACGTGTGAGTGGTCTAAGTGGGGAGAGAGAGAAAAAATCTAAAGTGAGCTTGGCGATGGCCTATAAAAGGCTTTGAGGCTAGCATAAAGGAAATAGCATATAATTTTGACATCTAGGTGAATACTGGCAATGTGGTTACTGTATCCAGCCTGGGTTTTTTATTATTATTTTGTTGTTGTAAGTAGATTTTGAATTCTTGCAAATATGTTTAATAAATTTCTGGTTATAGGAAGCTTATGCAGCTGGTATTTTAACTTTGAAGAGATTCTTTTAGAGTTGCGTCAGCTTTGTTGCACAAGACTTTGGGAAGGGGAAGTACAGAATAAGACTTGTAAATAGTGAATTACTCATAACAGCTGCAATGGTAGCAAACCATGCTTTATTCTGAGCGTGACGCTGCCCTGGCAGTAGAGATGTGACTGTCACTTCCAAGCTCCCTTCCCAACCAGTGAGGTAAACTGGATAACAGCCTGCTCAGACAGGCACGTGTATGTAAGGACAACAGGGAAATGTCATTTTTATGTTCTGTCCCAGAAAATCAGCTGCAGCTCAGTAAAGAAGAGACCTCAGCCTGGCCTAGTTTAGCGTCTGTCGTTCAGAAAGATGCTAAAATGCGCTCAGCTGCAGGGGTGACAGGATTTCTTACATGCTGGTTAGAAACGGTTGCAGTAACCTTTCCCTGGGCAGGTGTGATCTGCCTGAAGATGACTCTGTGACCACTGCAGTATTCGAACCAGCTGCTTAAGAAGCTCCTCAGAAGTGTTGTGTTTGTCAGTAAGCAGCTATACAGCTAAGAGGAGCTCCTGGTCAAAAAAACCCGATTTAAACGGACAAAAGGGTATGCTCACATCCAGTGCTTGGGGAAGAGGGAAAAGCTGTGACGTCTACAGGGCAGTTAGATCCCTATCGCTTAATCTTTCTGGATTAAAAAAAGAACAGGTAACATCAGAGCTGCTTTAACTCAAGGAGGATATTTGGATTACTTGATGCTGTAGGAGATGGATGTTCCAGGTACAACAATCACCTGAAAGGAGCAGAAGTACCAACTCCCCAGCCCAGACACTGAAAAAAATTAAGTATTGAAGTACCTTAAGTACAGAAGTGCTGCAGGTAGAACCTTTTACAGGTGCTCTTGAGGGAAGCAGCTTTTTGTCAGCCTTGCCTTCACGGTATCCTGGGTGCCTCTCAAGAAGTTCTT